CTTTCCCGATATCATCTATCGTTCCCTCCTCGAACTCGAACCCACTCAACTATACGCTTCTCCTGCCGGAACATAACGCTTACTCCGATATCATATCTCAAACACCATTTACGGAAGGCTACAGCCAAATGCTGCCATGGATCACGGTTCCCTCGGTTTCGGCATTGCCCAGCATCGGGATGCCGGGATTGTTTGACATGTCGTCATGGCTCGACCCGCAGATGATGATTTCATGATGGTTATATTTATACACCCGAGAGGAAGAACACTTTTGATCTTCCTGGCCGAGCTTATTATATAATGAAACATCTCGTAGCCTCTGTAAGCTCAAGAAAGACCATTGCATGTTCCTGCGGAGATTTCGTCTTCAAAACGACCACAAGTCTGCATCTCGGCCACCGCTGCCACTACTGTATCATCTTTCTTAATGAGTATTTGCATTACTTTGTCAAAATTCAAACCCACAGAATGAATAAGAGGTAGTTAATGGAATGGCTTAAATTCATCAAGTTCCGAGTAAGAGGTAGAGGTGCGTGAAATAGGGTAGATCAGGTGGTAACACGCAATTGCCACAATCCATCACAGCATTTATGCCGTCGCGACCAAGCGATAGGGAATCAATCCTACGGCCTTGGCTTTTTGCCTGGATTTGTATTTGTGCATGTATGAAGCATTGATGGATGTAGTGGTAGCGCTTCAAACCCATAGCAACTTTTTTTTTTAGCTGTCTTGAACTGCCGTGACATGAATATAGGGGTAGCATTTCTTGATTTATGTTACTTCTCAAGTACTGTTAGCTTGCTATCATGTCGTGGTTAACACTTTGCGTTAGAGCTACTGAGTAACGTCTTATTGTTTCAGCAGTTAGGCCCGCTCCATAACACTAGGGAGATATCTTTACGTGGCAAAAGCTTCACGTTAACGCTACTGAATAACGTCTTATTGCTCCATCATTTGGACCAGTTGCATGGCACTAAGAAGATCTCTTTAACTATATAAGTACCATGGAGCAACTGTGTAGACACAACATAAACAGGAAATTTGATTACGTCCGCTCCAATTTGCATTCTCACTACGTTAATCTTAGAACCCACAACCATGACCAGCCATAATTTACAAGATTCAGGAGGCTACCACATCACAGATTGCCTGCAGACGACTTTAACATCGCTCGAGGAGGAGGTAACGAGAGTGAATACGAGCTCCATGGAGTTGGAGAGTGAGATACAACAACTACAAAGTGAACGACACAAGCAAAACATATTGATATCATTGCAATCCCAATACATTGCCCTTCTGGAGGAGAGACTCAAGTTTGAAGAATCCACGGGGCCTCTCATTGAGGTCGGCGGTATCAGAAACGGGACCAATCTTGATGGCAAGATTCGCACTTAGGACAGTTCAATAAAAACGTTGATCCTCTTTGAACCCTTTCATGGCCGCAAATCTTCAACGCTTCCTGACATTGCATTTCCCTCAGCAACATTCTCAGGATTGCCTCCGCTTCGTCGGCCTTCTTGGCTCCCACATCAGCCTTCTGTACCTTCGTATTGGCTTTGACCGTCATCACTTCACTTATGTGTTCCTGACATACTTGCATCGTACTTTTTCGTGTGCGTCTGGTTCTGCTGCTAGATGACTTCGCGGTTCTCTTGACATCTCATCCAAAGGTCAAGCCGTTGTGCTTTCCGGGAATTGGAGGCTGTGTCGTACTGCTTGATTTTTCGTAGCCTGGCAACCACCCGAAGATGACGAGCAGTGATATAACTGTTGTCTCAAGGCTTATACAGCACCAACGTGCGCCAATTTGAAGTTTTGGACGCCTTTAGCCGTATCTCCAATGAATGGAATGATCGATCCAACTGCTTTTTTAATGTGAATATTGATGACTCGGTGCTGCACTCATCGTCCCGAAACACGATCATTTGAACTTGCTTTTTCTTGATTGTCTTCGGTATCTTGCCGTGTTGAAGTGGGAAGCATGGACAAGGAAACGCCGTCATGTGGCAGGAGGTATGCACTACTACCAAATTGTGAAGTGGCAGATGTACGTACACAACTGGACGCGTTTGGCCAAGTCCACGCACGCCCCTGGCACATAAAACCCAGTGACTCAAGACGCTTCGTCTTCTTTCCATCGCTTCCAAATTCCCCCTTATCAAAGCGCCGTGTCTCCGCCAACTCAATAAGGGAATCCCTAGCCCTATTCAGCTGTATCCTCTGTTTTTGTGTCAAAACAAATCGACCGGTTCCGTATTACAATGTCAACAACACCGCCGGACACGGTTCGGGGGCGTCTGGGCTCACCCTACAGTCTTTGCGACTTCGGAGAACAGAGACGGTATGTAGCAGTCAACGCGTTTCTTTGACAATGATTGGAACATCGGGGATTGTGCCCGATTTCCGACTAATTTCATCACAGGAGAACAGGTATCAGATTACATGATGATGGCGCGCGGCACGAGTATGGGATGCAACCGATTCACGGCCTATTCTCTTCGTCAGAGACCGATAAAAATTTACTCGGTGACAACACAACGCCGGATAAGCAGAACATCAAAACTTCAAGTGACTCATGCTGGCTATTTGTAGTGCTGAGCTCCTGCTAATGTGGTAAATTTGGAAGGTCCCGAATCCGAAATGCCAAACCAAGGTTTTCAGCCTCTGAGATCTTCCGATCTTACAATCGACGTGCGTTCTGCTCGAAACGCGTCCGTTGACTGCGTGTCAATGCCTGTGCCATTCCTCAAATCCCCGAGAACAACACAACAGACTATCGAGAGACGGTATAAGTCCCCACCATCGAGTAGGACATTCAACCGGTCGATATTCACGCTTGGTAGTACACCACAGCGTTGGGGCAACGGTTCAATTTCAGTTCAGACCGGCCGGCCCGATTACAATGAATCAAGAAATAGGGGCCGCCGTCGAACCTCGCAAGCGTGTGGTTAGTGATAACATCCCCCCTTTTCGGTTTGCTTGGAGAACTCTAGACTCCTACGTGCTCGATACTAATAGATGAATCATCAAGAGCACTGTCGTCGACGCAAAGTACGCTGCGTATCATCCTCGGAAAACGGCGGGACCCAAAATGAATGCATCAACTGTCTGAGGCGGAAGCAACAGTGCAGCTTCCTTCCCGTTGGCAAGTCGCCGCAGCGACAGACAACCGATCCGCGCCCTGAAGCACCGCCACGAGGTTCTTCTAGACTGAATACCGCTTCTTCTTCATCTTATTCTTCCTTGGGCTGGGGGCAGTCTTTTCACATACCCCAACACCACCTGTACGACGCCGGTCTTACACATCCAGTTACGGGTATGGCACCGGCTCCGACTTATCTGTCAACACTTGAGACTTCCGACTCTGAGGCCTCGTGTAAGTCTTATCGGTTATTCGGGTCCCTCAAATTTGCTGACAAGCGAATCCTAGTGCTCGTCAGTGCGTTCTCGTCTTCCTGGAGCCAGACAGCGTATTGGGCATTTCCAGAAGCCTTTCCCTACTCTATATCACAACCAGCCAACTACCAAAGTTTGGAAACTTCCGTTGGACACTCGCCGATCGCCACTCCCTCTTCATATTATACTTCCCGAAACCCTTTGTCTGTCAGCTGCAGCAACGTGAGTCCCGATGTTACTGATGACGTAGGACGCTCATCGGTTGCTCATGAGAGTAACATGATCTCCTCAAGTGACACGTCGCTGCCGCCTCTGAACGCCACAATGCCACAGCAGCGTCAATGGTACGGGGAAATGTAGTCTACTAGATCAAATAGCATGATTTCAACAAGAGAGCCCGCATGAATTTGGTCGATAGATATAATGAAGGCGAGCATCGTGGCTTCATAGGAATAGTACATCTTTGTATCTTTAGATGAACTCTAAATTCAATGAGAACAGAGATCTTTCCACAATCTACCATTACCAATTCCGTTCAAGATCATCTCCTTTTGCCGTGATCTTGGCTGGCAGAAGATGAGCTAGATTAAGTTTCTCGCTTCGACAGGGGTCATACTTGTGTAATCGGGATCATCGCGCTTCCTTTCACGAAGTTTCGACCGCAATGATAAATTTCCTGTGGAACTTCTATCCAACCACTCGATGGTCCGACCTTTAATAACGACCAGTTGTCCCTCTCATGTCTGGACGGCGAGCCGCACCCACACCAGCGCGTTCAAGATTTCCTAGTACCTACTATGTTTCATTCTCAGCTATGGCGCCGGCACCCGCTTTTGATTGCCGGCACGGCTGTCGGCCTTGGGATTGAGCTCGTCTAGCCACATACTGCATCACCGGAAAGCTGAGCGCCACTTCGCCGGCTTCAGGATACCCTCCCTGTCGGCGATGGCATTGGCGTCGAATTGACCAAGATCACTGAGCTTGAGAGAGGCAGAGGTGATGAGCATGTTTTCGCTCGGCTGATCGCCGACTGTATGTCAGATGCAGGCTGCGTTTAACGGGACGCCCAAGTGACTGGGTGAT